CATTTAGTTCATAGAACATTCAAGTAAAATATGGAATAAGTCCAGCACAATAACTCGATAATCTAAAATTGAAATCACAAAAAACCGTAATATCGTGAAACGAATTTATAATTCGGAATTTTGTGGTCCAATCAATGCAAGTTATTTTGAATGCGTGGCACATTCAAATATTTTATAGATACAAATGTTAAAATTAGATTTTGTTTTACGTTTTATTTATTCAAATAGTTTTGATAACAATGCGGCTTTTGTTAGAAACAGTTTAATAGAATTGTCCTAAATATATTGTATGTTATTCTGCTCAAAAATGCAAGGTTCAATTTATACCACTATAATGACTAAGTTATTGTAAGATTATGTCACATATATTATGATCATCATCATCAGCCTATCAGAGCCCACTGCTGAGCATAGCCTCTTCTCACATGGAGAAGATTTAAGCATTAATCACCACGCTTGCTCAAGACGGGTTGGCGATTTTCAATCTTATAATTGGAAATTATAAGTTCAGACTTCCTCATGATATTTTCCTTCACCGTCTTTCAGTGGTGTCTAAATACCTTAAAGTACATATATGAATTGGAAAATTAATATTGGTACTTGTCAGGTTTCGAACCCGCGCCCTCATGTATGAGATGCAGGCCTTTAACCACTAGGACACCACGACACATATGTTATAACAATAGTCATTTTATTTGCATTGATATAAGCACTTCAAGAGTCGTTAAACTGAAGACGAGTTCTAGTTAATTAAATGGATTAACTACGACAGCATTTCTATTTAGTTTTACATAATTATATCGTTGTTATACATATTTATATTTACTAAATATTACGAAAGAAAATATTCATACAAGATATTTAAAATATGTGAATGCAGTGAGCGAGATTCTTTTGTAAAATCGAAAAATTCCCTGACGAAAATATCCTGAAAGCATACAACGTGTGGTTAAAACGAAGTTCAGTAAAAATGAAGGCTGGTTGGATCGATTCGTCGTGTTCAAAATCACCTTCACAGAAACTTTCATCGACATTTTTGGAACCTTTTATAAATTCCAATAATATTTATTTGGAAACATATTAAATAAACTAACTTTAATTTTATATATAATAATAAGAACACAAGGTTTCTTTTACGATAATAGCTTTTATCATTAACATATACTTATATATTGTTAGTAATGATTTCTTATAAACTATTTATAGCATTTAAAATATTACAGTACAGTCTTTTTAACATACAAAGTAACTTGGACTATACATAACCTAGCAGGTACAATACAAAGCTGTACATAATAAGACGCTCGTTATATGAACAGATTTATATACAAAGGACATTTGTGAGCAGCTTCAATAAATTGTTGTGGCTACAACCTATGAGAGATTTAAACGACAAAACAGTATTCAATTACTATTGTATTTTGGTTTAACAGCACTGTTATATAGAAAATTAATTATTTTAAATAAAATTATTAGTTCTATTTTAGTTAATATATGCGACCATACATTTATATTTTAAGGTAATATGCTCTATTTAAAACAGTGATATTGAAGATACAAATGAATTATTTGAGATAATAAAAATAGAATGCTCATGTACATTATAATTACAATTCTATAAAAATATATATTTTATATTGAAGCACTGTTACTATTTAAAGTGAGAAATAAACCGCTTATGTTTTGCACCACATTCTCTTTTACCTGAGCAACGTCCTTTGCAGTCTGCAAGACTTTCCTTAAGGGTTTCGATTTATTTCAACTGCGATGGATAACAAATGTTTTCCATAACAACTATTTTCTATACTATCATGAAGTTTTATTATAGTTGTAAAATCTTTTATACATTTTCCATTGTAATAAAACTATAGTTTAAACTTGTGGGTCCACAATGGTATAGAAGAAAGAGAAGTTAAACTACTTACGAAAGTACTTATAGTTTTCATCTATTGTGATCTTATAACTGTGTTTTGTATTGCGTGTTGATTGGAATGAAGATTATATTGATGATAGTCATCTGAAGTGGATTTTAGTTAGTACTGATTACAGAGATAAACTATTCTAAGTCAATGTTAGCATCAACATACTACATACGTAGCGTTAACAGTTTGTCATTCATAAATCTGTGCACATTATAATATTATATATTATTATAGTAGGTCAAAAACTATTAACAACATGTAAGGCAGACCCTGACTAAAGCTGGGAAATTGTCCGGTATAAGAGAAGTTATTATTATAGTAGGTTATTGAATGAGAAACGGGAAATTTACACCGATTGATTGGTACGATATTCTTAACGTAAAGTATGTTTTTTACCTTCATTAATGTATCTGTATCTAAGATAGTTTTTTACAATATTATATATTTTCATGTAAAACTTATTTAAAGAAATAATTTATAGCCTGGTAGAAAATTTATACTCAATATATATGTGCAAGATGAGTCGTGGTTTATCAATTTAACATGTTAATTTGTTTTGATAATCTAAATAATTCAGTTGTTGTTCATAATAATATTAACTATGAAGATTTTTTTTAAGTAATATTAAAAATAAATTTAATTCCTATATGTATCTCGGGAAAAGATATTAGATTTCTTATAAAAGAGATTTTTTATAAAGGTGTATTTAAAAATTCTTTGAACCAGAATAGTTCAATTAGTATAGATGAATCAAAAAATGTTACAAATTAATTACAAATTAGTTTAAGATTCTAATAAAGATTTTGTTACCTGATCGAAGAGCGTTTTTGATTTTCTTTCAACATAACTTGGAGATACTGCGTTGTGTTTATTTGCGTGCATAAAATTAAGCGAACAAAACAAATTATCTTCTCAAAAAAACACAATGAAGCTAATATTAGATCACAAAAGAATTTTACAACACGGTAAAGTAAATTAATAATTCTATCAGTTTTGTAGTTCAATCAATACCCATATTGAAAGGACCGGACAAACGAGGTACGAGTATGTGGGTTTAGGGAATTATATTTGAATATTTTTAATAATTTATTGATAATGTATTTGAATATCAATCGAAAAATCCTTTTTTTATAGTGATGATTGAAAATATTTGGTGATTTTAACGAATTCTTAATAGTTTCTTATAGAACGAAGTTAAATTTGCTTTTTGCTTACAATATTGTAAACCTCAATGTTCAATTTTGAAAGAAAGCCTCTGATAATAATCTACGTGTTGACAATCTCTACAACTTTAATGTAGCACAATAATTTGAATAAATTGAATTAAAGTGAAAAAAATAAGGTAAATTGTTAACTGTACAAAAATCGACATAGAAAAAATATATGATTTTTTGTTGAGCATGGATATCTGAATTTACAAACCAAATTAGTGTTTTTGTTGTGCATTAATTACTAAAGGTATGTGAATAAAACAAAAATATTCAGTAACTTAGTCGTATAATATATTTTATATTTTGAAATTTTTTGTTACAATGTACAATATCGGTCTTAGTTATTAAAAAAGTATCGAAGATTGAAAGATGAGGTTGTATTGAAACACAAATCTCAGAAAGCATTACAGGTCGCAATTACTGTTTGTAAATGAGCAATATTAATCAAAGCTTGTAAGAGATAAACAAGAATGAATCCTTTTGCTATTAACGTAAGATTCATTTTCCAATACAACGCTTTTTGGCTTCTCAGGCAGTAAGTACAATCAGCGACACAAGTAACAATCGTATGGCAGTTTTATCGATATGAAAGTTCACTTATATTAAGATCTTCAAGCCACTGATATAACTTAAGTCGCCCAGGTTTTACTTCATATATTATCCAATGTATTAATTATACTACGAGCTAATGAAAAACCAACAAAATTATGATTCTTGAAACATTTAGATTCGATTTGTTTAATTTGAAAACCTAGAATTGACAATTATGTCTCAGAAAGAGATGGATAAAATTTTTCTATCAATGGTCGATCTAAACCACATTTTTTATTGTGGATAACAAACACACATTTAAACTATTTTTATATACATTTAAGCGATATAGTATTGCTTCCAATAATTAAAAACTGTTTTTAGTATACCATTTATAGATTAATTTACATATCTTAAAGCTGAGACGATACATCTCGTAATAATAAATAGTGATTTTACTAATTTCTCACGTAACACTTTTTTACGCCAGTGTACACAATTTTGGCAAATTTCGCTAACAACTATACACTCATTGCATAGCTATGTTGTGCATATAATATTAAGCGTAGTAATTATGCCTATTTATTTACATCTATAATACAAAACATTTTTACTAAATATTTTGTTATATTTAAATAAATTTATTCTATATATATTTTTTTATTAATTTACATCTTTCAATATATATTTATTTTATAATAAAACGAATAATCATTAGCACAATGAAAATTAATGGAAAGAAGTAAATTATAATTGGTACATATAGTATGAGGTGTATTTAAATTTAATTTGCAAAATATTATTTGTAAAAGATTTTATTCCTACATGACATCCGATATATTAAAAAGCTTTTTATAACAAACGATCAGAATGTCGTATCGTTATCGTGTCGTCTAAATACTAAGTGAAATAACGACTAGGCAACGTGCTGAAGTTAGTTTACTAAATCTATCAGTTCCAAAACTTATTTAATAAAAAAAAAATATGTTAATAGAATAAAAAAACCCAGCAGAGCTTCATATAGCAAAGCCATCAGAAATATATCTGATTATTTTGTCTAAGACCATCAAAGTGTAATATTTAATAACATCCAGATTAAAACAGGCAAGAATTTGATATGAAAACCAATTATTTATTAGCCTATAGAATAACACAACTTCATTGACATTACACCATACAAACATTTAAATAAATGCTCTGACAACGATTTAATATATTCTCGAAATTTCTAGAACGTTCTGGAACATTCTAGAACATTATGGAACATTCCGGAACATTCTGTATCATTCCGGAACATTCTGGAACATTCCAGAAGTTCATGGAATGTTCTAGAAGTTTAATCCTCGCAGGTCTTGCAGCATTGCCTCTGGTAGCGCTGGAGCGCGCACATATTCATTGCGCGGACGTTCTCACAGAAACGTGAGGTGTCTCTGCAAACAGCATCTGTTCCCAATCGAATTTGAACCTTATATACAATATAATAGACCTACTTTTATATATGGTGCTTGTTATTATGCATTTTTATTGCATTTTGTATTATAGAATTAATTATATGTACATATAATAGCTGACCCGGTAAATATTGTATTGCCATATAAAAAATAGGGTTTAACATATTTTTCATTGTACATTAAAAAAAACACCTTTTTTTTCCAATAACTACCAAAAAAAATTAAGGATAAACAACCCTTATCATTTAAGTTATGAAAAATATATAGTAGCCGATTCTCAGACCTACTGAATACATATATAAAATTTGGTAAAAATCTGTAAAGCCGTTTCGGAGGAATACGGTAACTAACATTGTGTTCTACGTGTGTGTGTGTGTGTGTGTGTGTGTGTGTGTGTGTGTATTCAATACTCACCCCTGACACAATTACTCTGCTTACAATCCCTTACAACAGGAGGCCTATCTTGTACACAGGCGGCGGCTGGCCTTTCCCTTCTTGTGCGTTTATTTCCTTGTATTGATGGAGCTCGCCACACGCAACGCAATACGCGATGCTGTTTACTCTCACCGCAAGGGCCTTTGCACTAAATAATAATAAAGAAAGATACTAATGCTAAAGTATTAGAAGAATAACAGGCAATGTATGACAAATAAATCTGAAATAATTAGATCTGACTTTCGCGAGTTTTATCGATTAAAATGAAAATAATATTTTTCGGACTATGCGGTTTGTTTTTGTAAAAAAACTACATACTCCCTACGTTTTGGCTTCTTTTCAGCAACCGTGATCACGGGCAGACGAAACGTGAATATTATTCATATATCCGAAAAGTCTGAAATAGTTTGTTGCGGAAATATATTTCAAGCTAGACTAGACTACAACGAGGTGAGAGATAAGTCTTGTTTAAGCATTAAGGATATTTTAAAGGAATTTACTTGACTTAGTCATTCGTTATTAGTTTAAAGCATTTTGGACCAAAAATCATAAGTTATGGGAAAGCCAATTTATATTCTAATCACATTTTAAATCCGTGAGCACACATTTATTTAAAACTACCCCTACTAACTGTGTCCTAAATTATTTCACATTACATCTTAAGTTTCGATTATTATTCAGCACTAGTTTCAGCACTAGAAATGTATAGCTGACCGGGCGAACTGTATTCCTCCTTAGAGGCAGTAAATAAAAATTTTATCAACATTTTTTTTCGAACCTAAGTTATTTTAGCCAAACCCATACAGCCGTTCTTGCGTTATCAATAGTGTATCTAATTATGCTTTCTTTTCTATATAAAGCTGTATTATCTATAAAAGACGAAGTGAAAATGTATATTTGTTAGTATTGAATACATTACCTTACTCCAGGGACCCACAGACCAGACTGGTCTACAAGGTTGTACGCGACGTAAATTCTCAGGTCTCTCGCTGTATACACAAGATGAGTCTGAGACTAGCGTACCGTTATCGCTCACACATTCAACTCGACGACGGATTATAGCTAGGAATAATATTACTAGATTAATTGAATATACATAGTTTGATTACGGAATACTAGTATTTATTACAATGGATATAAATCTTAAATTTCCATGACAATCAAGTTTAGGTTTATTGTTTAATAATTTTCTTTAGAGAAATATTATCAATTTTAATCATATAAATGTGATATTATAATCATTGATGTCATTTAAACTCACACATTTTAATCGTTTTATCCATTGCTGACAATATTATACTTAAATATAGAAAAAAATAATCTATTTGAGTCGATTTTTCCAGACAGTGAATAGAGATAGGTCTGTTATTTTCAAGGTAGAAATAAAACAGAGAAAGGTCTGACTGAATTAAAATAAATTTTAGATTATTGAAGTGAAATAGGCGTAGGAGTAGATTTAGGCATACTATTTGAATATACAATAATAGCTATAAATAGAAATAGAAATATTAATTAAGATTTCAATACATTTATTAAATTGATTGATCGCTATCGTTCTGCTTGGTATCTTTTGTCCGATAAATTCAAATGAACCTGATGTTTATAAATAAATTTAATTAATTAAATAATACTCAAAGCTGTCAAATATTTGATGAAGGAATTCGAACTGAATATAATTATTATTATTAAAGGGAGTCTTACTTCATATTTATTTTCACTTGTATTTATAGTCTATTGTTCTTATATTTTGTGGAAAAAAATGCTATTATGGGCTTCGTAAAATATTCATTATTTAATTATATTTTTTTTCGTTTGAACAGATATGTGCCCTAACAAGTGTAATAAATAATCTTTAAGTATCTTGTGATTCTGTATATCGATGCAAAAACTGTCCTTATAGTTAATTCAAATCATTTAAGCTATCAAATATAAATTAATTTAATTTCATTGTATGTTCGTGAGTTGCATTCATTATGAAGTTGAAGCTATTCGATGGTCTATCAGTTATCCTATTAAAAACACATTATAACAAGCATTCTTTTCCTAATAAATAAAGCAAAGCAAATATATCATTACTAAATAAAATTCCTATTTGAATTATGTATTAATTTATTTCGATAACAAACACGCAACACATAGATTACAGACCAATAAAACATTAAGTGTGTTTAGTATAGTTTATTTGTTTTTATTTTCATTTAAATTGCACAGTTATTTTTTAACTGTTGTGTAATTTTATAATTATTCTAAGCTTTATTTGTGTTATAAAATTATTGCCTTTCAAATTGATTTTAATTATTAGACGACAACAAACTTAATATGGTAGTATCACAATTGAAATTTAGTATTTGGTGTGGGGTTATTTGTAATTGGGTAATAACAGTTTTTGGATAAAAGATATCAATTGTAAGAATTAAGTTTGAGTGACTTATATGTTTATATAGAAACAAAACGGGTTTTATAGTAATAGAACAATAGTGTTCCTAAGAATTGTATAACTAGCTTTAAATAAATAATAAATGTATTATTTTTGATAAAACGATGTACAATGTACTAGGTCCTCAATTATAGTTATTAAATTTATTTCTTTATTCATGTTATATATCTATTTTACTAATGAATGTACTAAAATTTGTATCAACTTAACCCCTTACCGCATACGAAACCATATATGGATGACCAAGTTTACATTTTTTTTACAAGCTACTGGTATGTCCGATTTTTAAAATTTAACCCACAACAGATCCGGAATTTCATGGTGAAACGGAATGTAATTAACTCATTCATGTCAAATGTCAGCTGTCAAATATTTTTAAGGTTATGTTGAGCGCGTGCGGCGGAGCAGGTGCAGCGAAAAAAGTGTAATTTTTAATTTAAAAAAAAACATATCAAAAAGGTGAGTAAACGGTTGAAAAAAATACCACAGTATTCTTTTATCTTTCTTATAAACGGTGAATGTTTGTTTTTTGCTTTGTTTTGCATATTTCGACGTAATTATCTACTTTTTCAAAATTGCCATATTTGGCTTCGTATGCATTATGGTCAAAAGTGGTACTGTCATATTTGGCTTGGTATGCATTTAAGGCTTCTTTCTTTTTTGTTCTAGAAATGGACCCAGCACGCTTTTATGGCACTGCAAAGCATGTAAACATCATTCCAGGTGATGGTGACATTAGTGACGATGATGTTGATTCGGATTGTGACGATAATTGTAATATTGGCTCCATTAGTTTAACTCCTAAACGACATATCATTATACCGGAGTCAGAATCAGATTTTTCTTCTTTTTTTTTCTTTCAGCCTACGTTGGAAGTGAACCCACAACAACAAAGCGGCGTTACGTTCGCCAACATAAAGAATATGTTTACATACCTTCACCCCAAGCTGTAGATGTTTATAACCAGCATATGGGAGGAGTGGATTTACTAGATTCTATGCTGGGTTATTATAGAATCCATTTGCGGTCTCGTCAATGGTACAAGAGGATTTTTTTTCACATGGTGGACATGACACTTGTCAATGCTTGGTTGTTATGGCGCCGAATCAATGCTGACTCTTACATGCCACTTTATGATTTCAAACTGGCCGTTTCCGAACATTTGCGTAAAGCAGGAAAAGCAGTTATGACCAAGAAACGTGGTCGTCCATCGAGCATTGTTGGAACTCCGACATCCAAGCCGGGGTGGCACTCCCTCCCGTATTCCTGAATCTCCAGTTCCCGCAAAAAAGACACGAAAAACGCCAGCTAGGCATCAAGACTTGCCTTTGGCGTCCGTGCGTACCGATGGGATTAGCCATTTTCCGATTTGGAAGAAGAATGCCCGACAAATATGCCAAAATTGTTCTAAATTCCGTTCTTTTACATTATGTGAAAAATGTAATGTTTATTTGTGCTATAATGACAAACGCAACTGTTACAAAGAATTTCACGAGGAATAAAATACTTTACACGTAAATGCATACGAAGCCATATTTGACCGAAGCGTATATGGCTAGAATGCATACGAAGCCACATATGGCGTTGATTACTAACTTTTGAATTATAAGCTAATATTTTTTTTTGTTGATTTGATCTCACTAATTAAGCTATAATAAACACATTTTTGCCAAAAAAAAAAATTTATTTCATCTCTTTCATAATTCATGCAGCAAGGGGTTAAGATAATTAAGTTGTCATCAGTCTATCCGAGCCCACTGCTGAGCAAAGGCCTCTTTCCCACATGGAGAAGGTTTGAGCATTAATCAAGTTAGGACCATGATAATAAGAATTAAAAGAAATGAATTTTCATTGTGATACCTACTTTTTCTTCACAATAATGATACATTGTTTTTCATTGATAAAGGGGAGAATATTTAAAATTACACACAATATTATTTTTTATATATAGTGAAATATTTTTCAGATATAAACTCACCTGTTCCACTGAGAAGGCATCTTGGTAACGACCATTCACCAGTTTTCCAAGTTGCGCATCCATCAGTTTCACAATTACGCATCACTGAAGGGGGAGTTAGTCCACGGGAAATACACTCATCTGTTACTACAGATGTTGTTGTATTCTGGACTATACGCTGCATAATAAAAAATGTATACTAAATATATGGAATATTTAAATCATCGATTCAAGATAGGCAATGAAAGCAAAATTGGTATAGTAAGTGTATCGACATATAATTGTTATTAATTTGAATCCACATCTGTTGTATGATTTTTTCTTATAAAGTATCTGTTTGTATTTAAGTATTAGCTCTATATTGTATTAATGTTAATTAATAATCAAAGGAATGTATCTATTACATTAAATGCGTTTGTTAATGAAAGGTTTATTATGATATAGTTTACTTGCGTGAAATTTGTTCATATAGTGCTGTGTTTAAAATAATATATAATATTATATATCAGTAATTTTAATATTAATTTAGAATTTTTTGCGAGGAGAAGCTGTATTATAATAGGAACATCAATTTATTTATGCATTTTTAAATAAGTATATTGAGATTTTTTAGGTACAATAAATATATATTTCTTAAATAAAGATTTTGACTTAGTTTTGAGTTTTTTTTTTCTTATTGAAAATGTCTCATATTAAATAAAAAAAAAGTATATGTTTCAAACCCAGTTTTAATTAATTTGGCGTGAAATAAAATTTTCATATTCATGTAATATTGGAAAACTTTAGTTTCTTTAGCTTTTAGTTTAAATAGTTCAACCGAGTTTCTTGAGATGGAAATTTCAATTCATTAAATGCGAATTTAGATCAGCTTTGAATAACGAAATGGTTGAATCGCGAACGAATATATAAAATTTATTCAGATTTTTTCCTTAAAGTTATGGGGACGGTTTGACGAAAACAAATTTCTTTAACTAATAGAAATGAGAATCATTTGGGCTAAAGACTTAATCGATAAAATCATGTTTAATTAATGTATATTGATTAAAAGTGGTGGTTGAAGTGTTCTTGAATATAAGATCTAAGTTTTTCGCTAGTATTTATTTCAAAGAAACTAATACTTTCAGATTATTATTCGTATTTTGTTATTTTTAAATCTATATATTATACATCTCGACTGCAATCACGTTTACTGAAAAGTACCTGAAACGTCGGGTTTAAAGTTTATTAAAATAAAAAAATACGCCTAGTAATCTGAAAGTATTAATTTTATTTTTTCTTGGATATTATTGTATTATTTTTCTTACTCACTTGGCATATAGCACCCCTTATCTGGTGTCCAGTTTGTCCGCAAGGAGCGGAACATGTTGACCACTTAGTTGTGGTCCACATATATTCATTTACATCGGATGCGGTTATCCTAAAGAATATAAGGAATCAAAAAAAATGTACCAGTCATACTTGGTTAATTACTAATAAGTATCTATTTTTTTCTCTTTCAAAGTCTTTTTAAGCTTAAGAATAAAGTTATACGTTAATATTAGCTTATATTTTTCTATAATTTAATAATTTATTTCGAGAACGTCTTTGAAGTTTAGTATAAAGAAATAATAACTTACTTTTGCGGTTCTAATGTTGTAGTTTCGATCATATCAGATTTTTCAGTGCTGTCAAATGTTTTCTTATTGTAATCTTCGTTAACTATGATGATGTCTGAGTCATCGTCGTAAGGGAATACTATTTGTTTGTCTTGAAGGTTAACGACCTCAGCCTGTGTTGGTGTTCCGTAATTTTGGTACATGATGACAGGATCAACCATCCTTTGACCCCTCGAATTTCCGATTGTCTGGAAATTCCAAAACATCTGAACATATCAATTAAAAATGTTCTTAGATAAAAGGTATAAATAAAACCAAGGATGCTAAAATATCTGTTAGAATCATAATAAAATATAAATTAAAAAACCAAAAAACATAATGAGGTTATCCGAAAATGATTTAACCCGAATGGTTGAAAATTAACGAAAATAAAATAAAACCGTGACGATCGCCGCATAACAGAACGAACCTAAAGAAAAGAAACAAAGCCAAAAAACATGCAAAAAAAAACCAATGATGTCCCAAAAATAGACTACATTCGTTGAAGTTTGATTGAAGTTTTTTCATGATAGATGTTTTGTCTACCCCATGCTCTATTTCGGAAGCTGCTCACCTGAATCTGCATAACAAGATAGTGCAGACATGGTAAAAGACGTGAGGCGCCGTTAGTTTTCGGCGGGAGCATCTGAGATGATACAGCACTCTTCTTTAATATCCAAAGCGGCGTGGAAGAATTATTACGTAAATAATATATTTATTACCAAATAAATGGTGGATAAGTATAGAAAAGGGAATCCGGAGAAAATTTTAGGCTGATTTTAAATAGAGTTTTAGTGGAGAATTGATAATTGAATGTTCTAATGCTACTATTTAATTATGTACCTAAAGGGCTGAAAATTTAGTTATGCATTAGTTTATGCTAAAGATTTTGTGAATAATATGATATTTTGTTGAAATAAAATAAACGTTATAAACTTATGTTGAAATTTTGTAATAATTTATTATAAATAAAATGCTCTAGATTTTTGTATAAACCATGTGAAGCACGAAACCTACTTCTTATAGTATTACTACATTATTAAATTTAATGACATGTAAAGTGCACAGATTAAGAAGCATCCATTATTCTCACAACAATTCGTCCGTCTTTAAAATTCCAAAACTTTAACGTGAAATAAAATAATGCAACTCGAAAACTTCGGAATGATAATGTTGAGCGATTTTAGAAAGTTTTGAGTACTTCTGTCGGAAAATACGGAAAAAGACTTGAAATTAAGTTTGAAATGTACTATATATTTTTAGTATAGGAACGAGTGAAAAAATTTCACATTAAAGAAAATGTTATAAATACAATGAATGTACTTTAAAATTCCAAAAATTTTTGGGATATTTTTTAAATGGTATGCCTTATGAGCAAACCGAAATAATATTAATACTTGTGGGTTAATCATAATTTTTACGAAATTTTCTTTGCAATAGGCGTTACAATTCCCGATTTAAGAAAATGAGAGTATTTTTTTTAGTAATTTATGTAATATTATTTGATGTAATATAAAATAGGTCTGGAGGAACACGTTATAAGGTCTAGCTAATCATCTGGCAGACAAAAAGACCGCTATTAGCCCAGATATTAGTAAGACCACGACAAAATTAGCTCAAGGAACTAGATTTTACCGAGATAACTTAATTTGCATTTATTATCTTGTTAAGAACTTTGGAATTTATAATTTTGATAAAATATGGATGAGATTTTAAAATATAATACATTTCGCTTGCGGTACTGTATAAAATAATCGTTATAATTATAAGTTGTTTTCCACTTGATGGTACTAGTTAACTAAGTTAGCAATTAAAGTATAATTGGTATTGACACTACTTAAAAAAGTTTAAATTTTTGATGATTTAAAGGATTCCACTTGAATTAGTAACAAAGGCAATATTTTTAACAAGTTTTATTCCCACAATGTGAATCAGAACAAAAAATATTATCATACAAAGATTTTGAATACTGAAAATTTGACTTTAGATACTTCATTGCATTAGTTACGAGTATCAGTAAAAATGAACTATATCTCGGTTATATATGAAAATAATACATTAATTATGTCACAAAAATAAAATCAACATCACAAAAGGGTCATAAAGTTTATAATATAAGAAATCTGAAAGCAAGGTACGATCATTTTATCTGAAGCAATCCAGCCAAGTTCAACAATAAAACGCAGTAAGGTTTATGACAGTCGTTGTGGATGTAATAAAATTATTATTGAACGTGTATTATATACTAGTGAGGATTTTAAGGACACGTCAAGGTCGTTTTAAGGACGTGCCCTGAAGGATACAAGCATACCAGCTATGTCTAGTTTAAGTGTTATTATGATAGCATTAATTTTATATGTGACTATAAAATGTATCATCAAATTTATGTTACTTTATTGGATACATGTATATGTCTATAAGTCAGTGGTGGCCTAGTGGTTAAAAGGCCCGCCTCTCATACAGGAGGGCGCGGGTTCGGTCCTGACCCTGGCAAGTACCAATGTGATTTTTCCGAGTCATATGTACTTTCTAGAGTAATTAGACATCACTGATTAATGCATTCCCAAAGAGGGTTGATGTCAGGCAGGCCGGTCGTAAAAACAATTAGCCAAAACTATTCACAACATGTAAGGCAGACCCTGGCTAATAGGAAATTGCCAGGTAGAAGAAGAAGATATATGTATGTATATTTTCATTAGTGAATTATTATTCGAAATTAGTTATTTATTTTACATAATATTTAGGTATATATAATATTGATATGACGTCTTAAAACACTTCAATGCTGTCTCGGCATAAACTTTCAGCAATTTACATCCATTTTTAAATCTGCAGTAACTTTTCAAAGATGATGAACATACAGTGTAATTTCTAATATTCTAATATCCTTATATGTGCGACAAAATGTAATTTTTAAAAGACTACAATGAATATCGTTATATTCTTTGGTCGTAAAAGAGATTTATATTTTTCATTTCAACTTAACATACAGTTATTACCGATATAACAGAATGTATTGTTTCATGACGTTTTGGTGGGTAGAATTTGTTGCTAGTTGATAAATATTATAAATATGTTCCGATACGGCTTTATGTTTCGGGACTTCCCTTTTTTTATTTATAATACTTAGCTTGTTAAAAAAAACTGAATATTTTCATATTATATACATATAAAAAAGACTTAAGTGAACAAGATTAAGTTGGTTTAATGTGGGAACGAATTAAATTTATCATATATATGACTTAAACCTACCTCGGATTTAAGAAATTATTAGTCAATTCTCATCAAATAATTTATCCGGACGGTATAATATTGACCAAAGAGTGGGTTTTTTATAACTTACCTCATTTTCGTCGTAAATATCTCTTGCTTGAGAGTAACTTGGGGAAGCTTTCGTTGTTGCACCACCATATAACGCGTCACGTACTTTGTCAATTTTACCTATCATAAAATAAGGTGTTAGTAATTTTGCTCTCAAATGATTCTGTCATACGATTATAGTCTCTATCACGTTATGACATAGAGAATACAATTATTATGCAATAATCTTGTATAATTACATAGAATTTCAGCATAAATATTACCTATATCTCATTCTGATGTCTAAACTAAACTACTGTAAAGTTTCATCAAAATCCATACTGTAGTTTTTGAGTTAAAGATAAACAAACATACATACGTCTTATATATCCATACATAGTCGTTTTTAGCATGCTTAATATTAGTGGGAAAAGTCTGTCGTTATAATATAGTCTTATATTATTAGAACTTGGGAAATAGAACTTATGTTAAACCAAATATATATTTTTCAGAAATAAATGCCTTAAATATATTTATATAGTTATGGCATTATCCCTACTAATATTATAAATGCGAGAATAACTCTGTCGTCTGTCTGTTACGCTTTCACGCCTAAACCACTGAACTGATTTTAATGAAATTTGGTACAGACATAGAGTTGACCTTGAGAAAGAACATAGGATAGTTTTTATCCCAGACTTTTGAAAGGTTCTCTTGGAAACGCGATATAACCGAACTCCACGCGGGTGAAGCTGCGGGCTGAAAGCTAGTAAGATATAAATCTTTAAATGTAGTTTCTCAATTAGCTTTATATTGAGGATTTGTTTGTTTAAATGTAAATAATAAAGATTCCAACCTTTCTGTCGCCCCTTGTAATTCTTCTTCTGATCTGGTGGGCGCTGTTCATGAGATTGATCGTCAGACCGACCACCTACCATCGCTCGGTATCTACTGTCAGCTCTAAAAATATAATCAATATATATATTTCTATGTACATAAATATATAATATATATGTATATTGTCGGGGATAGTACAAATCCGCGTAACTACCATTGGATAATTCCGCGTATACAGGAAGTAGATTATCAGTGAAAGTTTAAGCTGAAATATTTTCTATATTTAACGACTCTTTAAGGTAAATTTTTCACAATTAGTAATAAATTAAACACTAAAAAATTTCTACTTTAATATTCACTTTGCTACTTTTTTGAAGCTATTATTCGTGAGATAATTGGTATGAAAATATTCTAGGAATAACGTAAGTACATTTATATTTTCCTTCAATAAATATAAACTATAAATAAACAACATTTTACATTTAAAATGTCGATCTAAATTTCGATTACCTGTCCGAGAGTGGTGATGAAGGTTCGTCCAACGCCTTATGTCTTTCAATTTCCTCGCTCGATGGAAATTCACCCGGGCGAGGTTTGACTAGTAATGTCAGGTTCGCGCTTGACCTTCCAGCCACGCAAGTATATACTCCATGATCGCGGAGAGAGAGAGAGGTTATACGGAGAGCTCCCTAGTGGGATAGAGATAGTAAATAATGAGACGAAACTTCTCAGCATTCCATGTATTCACGGTGCGTGTGTCGGGTCCATCGTTGTAGTGAGAGGAGCTTCAACAGTGACTGTGACTTGTGACCCAGGTGTAGGTTTAAGGGACCCTACCTAACGCGTTATACACTCACCTCCACTGTCCAAGCTCCTCTCTCTACCAAATTTGAAAAGAACCTACTAGGGCTGCCTTCGATGTACGTTCTAAGAATTTATTTATGTGAGTTTTGGACAAGCTCAAGTCTTTTAGTAATAATCATATAAAACCTATTTAAATAATTAAAAATATATAAAAATCAATTGATATATAAAGTTGCGCGTATTGAATTTGACAGGATATTATGTGTAACCGGCTGTAAAATTTTAAACGGTCCATTGATTTTCAGTGAATTTAGGTCATTGATATAATATTAATGAATTAGTTACAATATTTTAACGACAGCGTCAAAAATAATAATACCTTTATAATTTGTTTGATCTTAAATTATTATGAAAATAAAATAATAATTAATAATTTTATCTCGTGTTTTTAAAAAATCTCATATTACGAATGAGATCTAAGATTCTCGCGAGTATTCATTTAAATGAAACTAATTTTTTTCGGATGTACTACGCGATATTTATTTTCATCAAAAACTACATACTCCCGACGTTTCGGTTACTTTACAGCAACCGTGATCATTAAGACGAGATGTGATGAAAAATATTAGTTCCACTCGTATTACTAATTCTAATTACTGAAATAGTTTTAATTAAAACTAATTTCTATCAACAGTGTTTCGGTCCGTTATAATTTAATTGGCTCGTTCTAAAATCACTAAGCCTAAATTATATTTAATAATATTTTCTAACAATTGTTTCAAAAGGTTTCGTTTTATAAAATTTACGAAGGTCAAAGTTTGTTAGGCTTTGTTGTGTATTGTAAAGAGATTATTGAATTGAAAACTTCTCACAACAACAAAACTTTTGGTAATGTGATGTTTAATTTTGTTTCGTTATTTATATGTAATGAAAATTATGTTTGTTGAAACAACAGAAGTTTAATATCATCCAAATTTTATTATAATATACAAATATGTACGTGTAAAGTAATACATAATATTTTTGGTACTAAACATTTATTATTAATTTATTGATTTTAACTTATTCCTAAGTTTTTACCTCTTTAGGTTAACACGTTAAAGTAACTTGAAATTTAAGTTTGGAAATTTTTAGTTCCATGAAAATTATAACTTGCTTTCTGTTTTATCATATTTTTTTAATAGGAACAAGAAATGTAAGTAAATATTAATAATATTTCAATACAAATGTTAAATTATTAAACTGTATATACAAATGTTTTGCTCTATTTGTTCATGATAGTTTCTTGTTGCAAAAACAAGGCCGCTTAAATGTCATCTGTTCAGAGACATTTCTCGCCCAAAACTTGATACTCAATTCTCTTATCAACAAATTCCATTTAGTCTGTAGCGCTGATAAGTTATGTTGTATAAAGTTACATTATTTAAATATTAATTGTTAAAATATTTTACATGTTTTATGTCGAAATGAAATTTAAGATTTTCACGAGTCTTATTCATTTAAATGAAACTAATATTTTTCGGATATACTACATTTAGGGAACACACTTTTTATTAGAACCGAATCTTTATATTCCTAAACTCATCTGAAGTGATATTATAGCGATGACGCTTGGCTGGTACTCTTTTAACGCGGGAAAGTATGTTGTGAACACGACTTGTATTATTGTAAATAGAATTTAACTCATTTAAAGTTTTTTGGCATAAGATAATAATTAGTTTGCTCTAGTTAAGGTTTTATTGTTATTTAAAAGTACTGGCTTTATGAAAACTATATTTTTATAAGGATTTTGTTATAATCCTAAATCTACTTTATTTTTGATAAAAAAACTTCCGACGTTTCGGCTACTTTTCAGCAAATATGATCACGGACAGACGAGATAAAACGTATGAGTATGTAGTTTTTTATCAAAAATAAAGTCACGTAGTATATAAGAAAAATATAAGTTTCATTTAAATGTTTTATGACATTCAAATAATTCGTATTTTTAATAAGTGCAGCTATAAAATACGTACCTTTTTGGATATCTTGTATTTCTTCGACTTTGTTATAATCTGATGATCTTTGGCCCACTGTATTTTGGTTCTATTGTAACCTTTGACCGGACATTTGATCTTCACTTGTGTCCCGTAAAATATAGTCGCAGAACCACCCACTTTCACTGTCACCTGGTTATTTAATATTTAAATCAACATATTATTGTAGATATTTCTAGGAAATAAATAATTACATAACATAGTAGAATTTTCATCAGACTTTCCCGGAATATGAAACATAATAATTTTATTTTCTTTTCTAGTGAGAGAAAAATGAAATTTCAACGTATTATTCGTGTGTAGGTATCGTAAAATTTCTGTATATTTTTAATATTTTTTTTATGCTAAATTTTTTTTCCCATTCCTAGAACAATTTCGTTAAACAAAAATAAATTTAGCATGAAAACTAAAAACTTTAAGCATTTATTTTAATTACTTGTTTTATACTACATTAAATTTCGTTTAATCAATCGATTCCTACCTTTTTCTTCTTCGGATCATGTTGTATATATGAGGAGTTAGCCAATGATATTTCTGGCGATGAAGTATCCAACAGACACGGGCGACTGTTGCACGACTTTGTTGTCGCAGGTCTAGGTGAACTGCATTGAGATGACGGACGCTCGACTACGTGCGACTGAGCCATTATTTGCTTGCATATAACCTGGTAGCGAAATATTAGATATTTAAACATTTGAAACCTCTCTTTGAATTCATTATAGGAAAAAAAAACAATTTTCTTCCACGAAGTCACTTGAGCTACAATTTAGAGTATTAAAAAAAACATATTTCATACACAATACATACTCATACACAAAAAACCTATATAGAATTACATAATTTATAAATCTGACCTATCAGTGAGATCTGTATCAATAATAAAATATTAATTTAAGATAAAAATCTAGTAAAATGCTATAATTTGGGACTTAAATCTTAAAATTCCATATATCCAACAACAACAACATAAAATTCCATCCAACAACAACATCCAATTCCATCCAACAACAATGACCAATTCCATCCAACTAACCTCTCTCTGTTTGACTCCTCCTCCACAAGTCTTGGAGCATTTCGACCAGTCGCCAGCATGCCACCTTACTGGACAGTCAAGTACATTGCAGTACTGACGGTCGGGTGGTGGAGGTTGAGGGCACATACTGTTTGGTACCACCACGGTATTCGTACCACCTCTTGTTACCTATAAAACAATAGCTTATATTATAATAGTTTATTTAACTTAGTGGCTTTTTTGTGGCGAATAGGGACTAATTGGCGCATTATGGTGAAATTTTTGCCTAAATCTTAGCAATTTTAAGACGAGGATTGATTTGTTTGAATTTTCTGCAAAAAATCTCGTCTTTTTTATAAAAAAACCTTAAAGACGAGTGTCTAAAATCGATGAAATATAATCTATGTCGCTTTTCCGTAGAATGTTATACAATACATTGAAAAGTACTTAATTTATTCTTCTTCTATGATATACAACTTTTTGGGTAGTGTATTTTTAATGATATTTCTACAAAGTTTTGTTGAAATTTTATGTATGTACACTTCTTAGAATTAAGAATTGATTGACAACTAAATATCACAAGCGTAATAGCATCTTTACCAGAAAATTAGAATATGTGAAAAAGTGAGAGAATAAAAAAGACTTTTATTCTAATTTAAGGTAAATAAATGATTACCAGTCAAATGTTTTGTATAAAATAATTTGGATAATAACTAAACAGAGACCAACAAAGTAAATAAAACGTCCATAACACAAAGACGAGAAATTAGACAAAGTAATCAGAACCAGTGGCATTACTTTGTTAAGTTAATTTAGAAACAAAACATTAAAATAACATTTAGAAGCTAGCTGGCATGAAAAATAAAAGAAAATAATTTATTCTTTTACATGTTATATTAATTTTAGAACTATATTTTCTATACTATAATCAATAGTTTGAAATATCATAGTTTGAAATCAATTTTCATCAACATTAGTGAATATCCAAAGATATATTTCCTTTGCACTACAACCGTTTATTCAATAAAAATATATTAAGAAGTCAGCAATAAAATTTACCTCGTGGATACAGGTGACTTCGCGAGTTTGAATGCCGATTCCACACGACTTGGTGCATTGAGAAAATTCCGTGTAGTTCCACCTGCGATAAAGAATGTATTGAATACATCGAGATGTTTTACGTAAGAAATATTACTATTTTTATTGAAGTGTGATAATATTAATAATAGACAAAATTATATTTTATTTCTTCTTCTAAATGACAATTTCCCGGCTTTAGCCAGGGTTTGCCTTACATGTTAGGAATAGTTTTGGCTAATTGTTTTTACGACCGGCCGCCTGCCTGACATCAACCCTCTTTGGGAATGCATTAATCAGTGATATCTAAATACTCTTAGAAAGTACATATGACTCGGAAAAGTCACATTGGTTTGCCCGGGCCAGGATCGAACCCGCGCCCTCGAGCATGAGAGGCGGGCCTTGTAACCACTAGGCCACTACTGACCATTATATTTTATATGATGTTAAATTACAAATGTTTTCAACGTTGATTTTGTTTTCATTTTATTGACGCTAGTATTTAGTTTACATTGTTTATGTATTGAATTACAGCTGGTTTATAAATAAATTATTATGATAAATTGTGTATATTGTTAAATATTTTATTCTTAAAGTAAACAATAATATTACATAATTTTTCTATCTAATTATATGATTTCATATACTATCAATTGTAAGTCGAAAGTAAAAAAATATATGAATTTAACTGCTATGTGTTTGTGCAAGTGACCCAGTTATATCAGAACTAGTTCGAGCTAAAAACAAATGAATTGCATTAGGATAAGTTCACAAATCATAAAGATAAAACACAAGTCGACTTCCACGCAGTATATCAAATGTCCTCGTGTTGTTTATTTTTAATTGTACGCTGGAACTAGCTAGATTTATACTTAACACGTTTACACTGCATTACGGTGAACCGAACTGTTTTACAGCCAGTGGATTTTAAACTTTATGTGGTTATAATAAAATATAATATGGATTGAATAGTTTAACAAAGCGTGTGTGGAAATAAAGTTAAATTAGACACAAATGCTCTCTAGAAAACGGCTATGATTTTAACAGTTATGAACACTATCGTTTAAAATATTGAGTTTATCTCTTATATACGTTTATAAAGAATTTATTTGAAACATAGAATTATGTATTTTATTAGCGTTTGCGCGTGACTTTCAATGCTTTTGTAATTGTCTTTGCTAAGAATGCCGTTTGAGCTGGTAATTGTGTTGTTTTTTATAAAAGAACAGACGGATAAACTAACATGTATGTATTTATGTTTTCTATAGTTTTTCTGAGTTAAATTATTTACGCGACTAGTATAAAAGTAATTATAAAATTTTATTACTATCTTGATACTCAAAGGCTTTTATACCCAGTCAATTAATATATCCCTTAATTCTTCTAAAATTTTACTAATAAATAAGAGTTTCAACATAAATATCTATAAAATTCATTTAAATATACAACAAAAACTAATTTCCAAGACAAATGAATATTCATATAATTTGATAAAACAAAAATTTTATGAGGAAAATGTATCACAGAAAACCATTCCATACAAAAATACACATAGAAAACATATTTAGAACAAATGAATTACATTGAAAAAACTTATTTTATATTGAAGTATTTCTTTAAAAGCAAAAGAAAGAGAAAGAGTGTGTGTGTGAAAGAGAAAGGTAAATGAGAAAAAGAAAGAAAGATTAAGAAATAGAACACTTATTCTATATGAAAACTATCAATTTATGGAGAGAAAGGGTTTTTAAAGTAGAACATGGCAACACAAATAGCATATTTATATGCTTTTAATTAATAATAATTCTATTACAAATCAGCCAAGCATATGATAGGTTTAATATCATCAAATTTAAGCGTAGCTCATTTTGAGTATATTTGAAATAAGCGCTTAATCTAACAGCTTATTTAAGAAGCATATTTCAGTGAGATGTACATATAATGAATGCTCTAATTCTTAACATTTCAGTAATTCTATACAACTCCTAAGAAAATGTCTTATAAAATAGCTAGTTTTCATACAATTTAACAAAAAGAAATGTTTATAAATAAATATACTTTTCATTTATATATATAAAGTTTTTCACATCGGGTTTGCAAGTTGATGTTCACTAATTGGTAAGCGAGTGCTTTTGAAATCGTATCATATGAATTCCAGCATCATTCATTGAGTATTAACGATACTTATATTATTTCATATTATTAAACAACGAACGTGGAATTAAATTACATTATGCTCGTATATCGTATTGTATGGTATGTGAAAATTTTGTAAGATTAAATATATATATGATCAAATCAAATCTTTTGTATAATTCATTAAATACTTCCTCATATAGGTATGTAATGGTATGAGGTCAGTATGGTAACATTTAAATTATTTTGCTAGTTCTTCAGTATGTCTTGGTGATAATTTTAAGTATTGAAGTTATAGATAAAGTATAACGCATGATCCTTCCATAGTTTTAGGTACTTTTATTTATTATATTGATAGAAAATAAACAATAATGAAGATAATTTAAAAAAAATGTTTTACTTTGATTTTGAGGCTTATTATTTAATTTTATATAAAACGATAATTTTAATTAAACATCACATAGAAAACAATATTCTTAAAGCATATTTTATTCGAAAAAAAAAACAGAGAATTATTTACGAAAACATATGTTTTCGTAAATAATCGTTTTAGTAATATACTATTACATACATTGTTTTGATATAGTATATACAGGATGACTGGTGAATTACTATCAATATTTTAGGAGAAAATTCGGTACATGATTCTCATTCGAATTATGTAAAAAAAATAGGTACTTAATTTTTTACCAAATTTCCATATAAATAAATAAAGTGTGGATACGTTCCAAGTGTTCCAAGTGTGGACGCGTGCGGCGGCGTGGTGTTGTATCAGCATGTGTGTGTGTGTGTGTGTTTATACCTAATCAGTAGGGTGTTCATACGATGCGTAATTAATTACATAACTTTTGGTTAACTTTACTTAGAAGTTTATTAATATTTATGTTATATTAATTTTTATTTAGTCATATATGATCGTCAAATATCACGTCCTCAAGTATCGATAGTAATTCACCAGTCACCCTGTATGTACACTTCCCAAAGGGGGTTGATGTCAGGTAGGCGGCGACGTAAAAACAATTAGCCAAAACTATTCACATGTAAGGCAGACCCTGGCTAAAGCTGGGAAATTGCCGGGTAGAGGAAGAAGATATATATATATGTATATATATGTATATATATATATATTTGTTATTCTTACCTTGGTGGACACGGGTGGTCATTGCAAGTCCTCACTCTATTTTCCGGTTTTGTTAAAGGATCACACATATAAGGAGATGCGTTTTTGCCGTCTTCATCACGAACACATTGTATTATAAGCTCCTAGAAATATTAATATTATGAGATCTAAGAATTTTGTGAGTATTCATTTAAATGAAACTAATATATTTCCTATTACTAAGCGTATTTTATTCTTTCCTAATTTGGTTAGGTAGAGAGAGGAGCTTGGACAGTGGAGGTGAACGTTTAACGCGTTAGATAGGCACCCTTAAACCTACATCTGGGTCGCAAGTCACAGTCACTGTTGAAGCTCCTCTCACTACAACGATGGACCCGACACACGCATATGAATACATGAATGATGAGAGGTTTCGTTTCTTTAAAAACTACATACTCCCGATGTTTCGGTTACTTTGCAGCAACCGTGATCACGAAGACGAGATGTAATTCACATGTGATTGTATCGTCGGGAGTATATAGTTTATAAAATAATAAAATACGGGTAATAATCCGAAAAATATTAGTTTCAATTAAACATTAATATTAATCAAACATCGTTAAATTTTTAATATCATTACGAAAGCGGCGATTTGTTACTCAATTATTAATCGAATCGAATCAGTACTTTATATGGAATTAGTGAAATCTGTGGGAAACAGCTAAGGACTTAATCATACTACAATATTGACGCGTTTCTCTTTGGCGTGTCGGGCCATAATTTTGCACTGATGAAGCGTTTAAAACCGATTATAATACTGACACATATTGCGAGCTACGTATCAAGTTGATATTAAATTGATAATGTGCATTATTTTTTATAACTTTTAAGGCCTTTAGAGGATTTATGGAAGATCGGATTGAAATATATTTTAATACATATATAAGTTGAACTTATTCAAATCTGTATTGAACGAATTCTATATACACAGCGTACTCCATTTTAATTATTGGTTTTTTAAATAATGTTATGTATGTAAATGTATTTGAAAAATAATATTCTTCTTTATTCTTTATTAATTCATTAATAATAAAATAAATGAAGAACAAAAAGGCGAAACAAAGGTTGTATTGATCTAGTAACTACTTCATTAAAATCATCTTATGGCTGTAGAAAATATCTAAAAATAAGTTAAATATGAATATTTCAATATTTTTACAGTAACATACTAAGAAAATGACTTGAAAACAATTTCGAAATTTGTTGATTGGTATAAACTAAATTAAATAGCTTGTTTAATCTTATTGATATAATATTATTTTAATGATTTAAAAGACGATGCAGTCAAATTTAACTAATAAAAATTATAAGGCGTTTCATATTAGAATATTATAGTAACATACGAATATTCATTAGAAATAAGAGTACACGAAGAGAAGTTAAATATAATCTTAATTTAGACCATATATAGTTTATAAATAAAACATAGTACACACAAATATACGGAACAGACTCGTTAATTCTACAATAAAGTTTTGTGCAGTCGCTAGTAGAAGTTTAGGCATACAATTTTGAACAGTTCATTGAACTAAGATCTAATCCAATACCTGTACACCGCTCAAGCAAGATGCACTGCAGCTAGTATAACCCTTTTCCTTCCAAGAATAAGACTTCCCTGGTGAGCCCGGTGCTACTCTTATGTTGCTTGATGTACCGAATATGAGCGACCTGCTGATTATAAAGATTACTTTATTACTTACTAGAAGACCTGGCAAACTTCGTATCGCCCTATAATCAAAAAATATCTATTACGTTTTTTTATTTATATTTTTTGGAGTTTACCTGTAAGCCATAAATCTCCGTGTTTTTAAGTTCGACAGAATGATTGACATATTAGTTAGTTGTCAATTCTAATGTCAAAAAATAACCGTTTGTATGGGAAATAGAAAAGGGCTGTTTTTATGGTTTTCCCAGTAATGAATCAACTTTTTTCAGCTTTTATATCTTCCCTGAACCTCCACGAACATTTCAAGACTAAGACAAGATAAATCCGTTCAGCCGTTCTTGAGTTTTAGCGAGACTAAGGAACAGCAATCCATTTTTATATATATAGAAGATAAGTGAATACAATCATGAAAACTATACAAAAATTTAATAATATGATTTAGAGTGATGCTTATTTTCTTTACAAATATATATGTATATGTATAATTGAATTTCCAATAAGTAATTATATAGATAATTTCTTAGATAAGATTTTGTATTTGTAAAACATGGCTTTTCATTTTATATCATAGTGATAAGACGATGTAATCATTTTTATCATGACATTATCATTAGATTATACGTTGAAATATTTTAGTATTGTTCTATATTTAACAGTGTAGAAGTAAACAAAATGTCTCTAGATGTTAATTTAAGTGAACCGGATGAATTCAATTGTATAGAACTACATGATTGTATCAAAAATGTCGCTGAAATCAAAGGTATTAAGGATTTTGTATATCACGTGGATGTTGTCTGTGGCTGTGGTGAGAACTTTATAGCTAATGTGTTCAGAGTTATAATAAAAGAAGCTGAAATTGATCACAGTTGTAGCGTTATCGTTAAAACTCTTATTAATACTTCAAGACAAGAACTATTCAGGGAACTACATAAGAGAGAGGTCAAAGCTTACAAAGAGGTAGTAAATAAATATGTAGAATTACAGAAATGTATACCGCCAGATGACAGAGTAATTATACCTGAATGTATATATACGAGTATAACAAAAAATAATGAAGTCATTGTTTTAGAAGATCTATCAGATGTTGGTTTTAAAATGGATAAAAGATTGGTATCCCATCAAAAGTTGGGTCATGAACATGTATATCTAATTATAGCGGAATTAGCTAAATTTCATGCATTATCATTTGTTTATGAAAACAAGGAAGACGATTTTGATAGCGTACGCAAAGAATTTAACGATCTCATTTTCAATGATACGTTTTTGAATAAAGCAAAATTGAGGAATTATTTTCATGATTCATTCCAAACATCATTGAATCTCATTAGTGATGCTAATGTTAAAATTAAACTGGAAAAAGTTAAAGATAAATTAATAGATCTATTGAAATGGTATACCGAACCAAAAGAATTTAATGTGTTCTGTCACGGCGACTGTTGGATCAACAATGTACTTTTTAGAGATCAGGTAAAAATACATTTTTTCTTTTTATTTTACAAAATCCATTTATTATACATATGCTCTCATTCAAAGTATTAATAAAATAAATTCAACTGAATATTTTTTTTTGTCAAATTGCTTGCCAATTTCATGTAGTGTCATTTATAAGCGTATATTTTTATTTTACAGGATACTAAAAGAGATTTGTGCTTTGTGGACTACCAAGCATTGCGATACGCGAACCCAGTGACAGATATACTATACTTCGTATATATTTGTACGGACTCAGAATTTAGATCTGAACATTTTGAGAACATCATAAAAATATACTACGATAATTTCAAATTATTCTTAGAACAGTTTGATATAAATGGGGAAACGGTGTATCCACAGAACGTATTTGAAAAAGACATGAAAGAATTTCTGCCATTTGGACTGCTAATTGCTTTAGTGGAGTTAAGAATAGTGTCATCATCTTCTAATGTCATGTCAGATGAATTAAATGAATATGACAATAAAATTGAATCACAGCACGAAGATTTAAAAACACGTGTAAATGATGTCGTAAATGAATCTATTAATAATGATGTGTTAGATAAACTATTGCAATTAATTAAATAGTGTTATTAGTTTAATTTAAATTTCATTATCATTTAAGGTAACATCAAAAACAAAATAAACTGTGTTTAAAAATTAATCAGTATGTTTTTTTCTATTTTAAGCTACATATCAATCTTAATATATATTTTTATTTCATCATCACCGTATGTCAGTGGTGTCTAAATACTCTTAGAAAGTACATATGACTCGGAAAGATGACATTGATACTTAGGATCGAACCCGCGCCCTCGGCAACGAAAGACGGGCCATAACCACAAGGCCACTACTGACTTATTTTTATTTAAGAAATGTAAATGTATAGTCAAATACCTGTCTCCACCATTATAAACAGGAGCACTTGAATCTCCGAACGATGTCCCATAAGCCATAGAGCAAGGTTCCATAACACACCTCTCGGTTTCTTCAGTAGGTTTTGGGCCCATGCATTTACTATCAGGTAACTTTGCTATGGTCCTACTGAATTCTAAGAATATCTTGCAATGCACTTCCTTCTTCCTCCATCCTTCTCCACAAGTAACGCTACACGGCGTCCATTCGTCATCTTTTATGTAACTATAAGAATTACAATATTATAGAACCTTTGGTCAGATTAAAAGTACTTTCGTGCATAATGACTGCTGAATGTTTTAGCGTAGCTAGTTGACATAATTTAATATCTTAACTGGTGCATTCACCAATGACGTAGGTAGAATCTAAATTCGCACAGTTAACGAGACGTTTTTCTAAACTTCTGTGCCTTAACGTGGTTAAAACATTCAATTTCTAGGGCTTGGATAGGGAGAGTTCACACAGTTATTACATGCTGGGTGCTGGGGTCGAAAGAACTACCAATCCTATTAGAATCAGATTTGGCTGGTATATGTAGAAGTATGTGCACCAGTGTTAGTAGGTATGGTTTGCCAATTTGTCCTGTAATCTTGTAAAGTTTCTGTCACACTATAAGCCAATAACTACTCTAATATCACACCACTCTGTGAATAAAAGTTATCTGAGAAAAAAACAGCTTTGTTAGTGTCAGTGCAGATGTATAGTATCTTAGAGTATTGGAAAAGTGTCTCGAAGCAAAACAAAAAGTAGAGAAACTTTAGATAGTGTAATATGTGCAAGGAAATACAAACTTTATTGTGCGGTGCGTAGAGTTGAAAAAGGTAAGTCTTAGAAAAGGCAATGGTCCATGACAGGTAATGAACTGAAGGGTTTTTGTGGAATAATCGAAGATTGTGCATACGGAAATGACCGGTATCGAACTAAGACATTGAGAGTTTACGGATGATTTTTCTTTGAAAACAATTATACAGCGATCAATTTTCTGGATGGTCGGTTGTATAACATTGATAATGTTCAATAACATTTATCGTCCTTAAGCCATATATTTAATGGTTTGAAGACGATGATAAAAGCATTAAATGAAAATTAATAACAGCCACTGATTGTGTATGAGGAAGGTAATGTTGATAACTGTAAAAAATGTGATGTTGTTTTGAATCCAAAAGTGAAACCTTTAATTAGTACTAGTTAAGGTACAATACCTTACATACAACCAGCCACACGCAAAGAATATTTTGTAATTGCTGTAAACAACAACAAAATACTCTGAGCTATTTGTAATACTAAGAAATATTTTATATGTAAACAGTTTGGATTACAGAGACACAAAAGTTAATGCCTATTTTGAGTTTCATTCGTTTGAATTGGATTTTAAGAATATTATTAATAAATCAAACAAAAATATTAGAAAAAAATATGTCAGTGACATTTTTAAGGAACAAAACTAATAACGAAAAATCTGTTTTAAACTAAGAGGTAAAAGTTAATAGTTATGTGTGACCCAGATTTTAACGCATAGTTACGACATGGCGTTTCCAAGTTGAAATTTTTATGAAATCTTCATAGCTACATCAAATTATTTTATTACATACAGAAGAAATAAACATGCTATGTTGCCAATCGAGAGAATAACGTTATTTAGTTTTCATCACAAAGTATATGGTGAATTATATAAAGGAAAAACTTACGTAGCTTCAACAGGTACATCTGGTTCTCCTACAAGTCTTTCAGCAGCCGGGTATTGTTGTATCAAGGGCTGAGTGTGATAAACTACACCCGGCAGCAGTGCTTCTATGTCGTCCTGGCGTATAATGAATAGTTTATAATATATTTTTAATAAATAAAACTGATATTTTCGGACTACGCGTTAATTCTTTTAAAAGACTACATACTCCCGATTTGTCGATTACTTTGAAAAGTCATTGTATGTATTTTTTTATAATAAAGTAATGCGTTGTAAGAGGAAAATATTAGTTTCATTTAAATTAATATTCGCGAAAGTTCTAGATGTGATTTTATTCTTAATATCCTCACAAATATTATGAACGTTAAAGTTAATATATATCTAAAATTGAATTTATATGTATAAAAAAATAAATATTAGAATCTTAAGTTAAAAGAATCAAAATTTTTTCTGTAAAGAACGATGTTTTTGGTCGTATAAAGTAAATTCTTATTAAATATTTTTCGATACGCCAGCTACATAGCATTATTGAAAAAAAAAATTAAAATAAATATTTATATACATTTTCAGCATATTCATATCATATAACAACTGTATGCAGATCAGTCTAGATGTATTCAAAGCAAATTTAGTATCAAGATTGAATATTCATAGATCCGTTAATGCTTGTATCTTTCTCATTCAAAATTACCTCAGGTTCCTCCGGTTCTCTATATATTGGACAGTTTATTCCTGTTGAGCAGGATCTGGAAATTTCTGGTCTAGTTGCTGGATCACAACCCCCACCAGCTGGGGTACATTCGACCCCACGAACTTGAACACCTTCGCCGCAAGATACTGAACACTATAAAGTTGGGGGGACTTGTATTATTGGAATATTTATATTGAATGCAAAGATTTTTTACACTCATATACACACACACACATATATATTTACACACACAGAATAAAAAGTTTCATCATCGGCCTATCAGAGCCCACTGCTGAGCAAAGGCCTCTTCTCACATGGAGAAGGTTCGCACATGGTGATAAAAGTTTAATGATATTAATTTCAAATTGTTGTGAATTTATGTATAATTTTAAATAGTTTTTTGTTGAGACTTTGTACAAAAGAAATGCATAAGTAATTAAAAATTACGCTACATAAATTTAAACGGAATAAATCAGTTATTTTAGACAAACTTCCTCTTCAATTTCATCTCGTAGTAGATGAAGTTTGAAGTTTTTTTTTTACTTTTTAAACTATCGTAATTCTGCAAACTTATGGAAATAGATCGGAGCAATTTAATTAGCACTTTTTTGTTTCCTATAATTCATAAATTTGAATGGTAAATCGCTTCAAAGATATTGTTAATTTTATGAAGTGAATTTATTTGAATGCTATGAAAACTGGAATATTTTGTTTGAAAGGAAATTAATATTTTAATACCGGAAAATATACGACGGTATCATATGGTACACATACTTATAATTTTATGTTTATTTCATTTTGAATTTCAATCGTATGAATAATATTTTACAAGCTTTGATTAAACTTCGTATGTATGTATGAAATATGTTTGCTCTATATGAATTTAAAGCAAATATCTTCAAATGATTGGTTTGAAATTTTGTGTGTATATTAGTTTGGATAGTGTATGCTTGGATGCGTTACGTCATCCTAGATCCAATTTGGTGGAAGGTCCAAAATTGCTGACTGTATTTTAAATGTACCTCAGTAATGTTTATGTGAAATAAAAGAATTGGATTTTTGTAATGCAATTGAAATCGATTTGTTAAATAATATTATTTTATTATATTGCAATTTTATCCTCTTCTTTTTTGGCTCCATCATTTTACAAGCAATATTTTTATGTTTGATTTTTATTTCATCATAGTTTAGTTAGCATTTTTTACTTCTACTAATGCTCAACCTACCCAATTAACTGAATCATAAATTTTACTGTACGTTTATTTATGTCGTGGCTAAAAAAATTAGGCAATACAACTGTTTTCTTTGATTAAATAAACAAAATAACTGAATAAATTAGCCTTCCACTATCTTCCTTGGAAGTTTCTGTATCAAAGTTTCCTTGTAGCATGTTAGCGTTTGAGAATTGAGTCTATAACATGTCGTTAGTTGATCCAGTAACTCCCCAACTACTAATGGCTAGTCCGGTGACTTCGTATCAGTTTTAGGACGTCCAACCTAATTGTTCTGCTCTACAACGCTTGGTGCATGTTATAAAATTTTAGATGCTTGTAGTTTGAATCAATTGTTATTAGTTTCGAAGCGTATAAAGTTTCTGAATTATATACATATATTGTATTCAATATCTAGAGAATGTGCAAGAGACTGAATTACTTTATTCATTATTTAAGTTTCGTTTATTGTTTAGTTCTGATTATTAACTATATATTTTTTTTGTTGACACAATTAGTCTAACGACCGCTGCTGCTTTTATTAAAAGAATAATTAAACAAATCTTGTCTAATTTAAAATTGTCATTTTACTGATATTAACTAAAATTAGTTTATAATCACCACAACGGGAATGTTTTTTAAATGAAACCTTAAAAGCATCGATGTCGGTTGATATATTTGAAAAATAAAACATGATTACCCACATACATGGAAACGCACGCCCACACATATGCACACACTCACAAACATACACACACACACACACACACACACACACACACATTCATCGACATAAATAAATAACACCTAATTTTTTGGCCAGGCATTAAAAAGAATAGCAATAAACTCAGCAGACAGTTTTATTTCAAATTATTATAATCATGATAAAATGTCGTCTAAACCGAAGCCAGATTTTGGTCACAAACTCGGTCGGTGAAATTCACAGAACTTCCTAAATAATTTAGATACTTTAAAACGTAGCGAATCTTTTAATTATGCTGCACTTCAGCAACTACGTAAATTCAAAGCAAAAGGAACTCAGAGTGAAACTGCTTCAGCTATAGAATTAAAATGTACAAACTAATTAACTGCTCTAAGTTTCTCGGGTCTTGATTTTAGAAGACTTAAGAAGTGTCCTTTAGGTGTGCTGTTTGATCGTTGTGTAATAAAGAAAGCGGGGAATTTTATTACTTTAATGTAAATATACAAAAGGAACAATAAAAAGTTACTTCAAAATTTTGAACTAAAAGTACCTACTTATGCTTTTTCCTTGCGTACTGCATAGGTTCAAGCTTCGAAAAAAACATTGTTGTATTTAACTATTCACAGTATGTAAAATTTGCAATTAAATAATAGAAATTCTTTCTGTCAATTGACTCAAAAAAATAACTATTAAGAAAGTGACTTATTAACTCTATAAGTATGAAGACAGTCAATTCTACATATTGTGTTGGTCTAGTTGTATGATGCTGAAATTACAAAAACTGTGTAATGTCTAAATAAATTAGAGTAAAAAAATTACTTTATGCAATACTCGTTTAAACAAATCCGATGCATTCATGACACAAACAGTTAACAGTTACAGTAACACACCCAAAAGTTCCAAAATTTTCAAATTAGCCCAACTTGTTAGGCCATCAGAGCAAGTTTTCCAATTTGGTTTAATGATAATTTTAGTACATGTTTAATTTTCATCACATTATATAAGAATCTAGTTTTGTTCTAGATATTCTATTTATATATTTTGGAAGTTAAAAACTGACAATACATACATATTTGCAATGTTGCGTTTGTTATATTTATATAACATCTTCTTTTTCAATGCATATGAATTTATATAAGGTACATATAACAAAAAATATTTAAATTTTGTAACACCTTGTGTCTAAAACGACGATAAAATTTTTAGCTTGAATTTTATTGGGATCTAAATGACCTAATAAAAATTAACAAAGGCGGATTTTATTCAAGATATTTCATATATTTTAACTAATACAAATAAAAATTTATACATTAAATTTCTAGTATAACAATCCACGACTCTAACGTGATATTATTAATAATTTCGCATGCTATAAGGCTTTATGTATATTTTATATGTGATAAAATTTCAATGCGAGCTACGTAGAATGTGCTACGATGTTGCTCCATCCGAGATTCATAACGCCAGCATTCATTATTCAAGTCTCAATATTTATATTTTATATGCTTATAACAGGTATTTCAATTTCAAATTCAAATTAAATTCTAACAAAGTATAACTCAAGGCTTCGCTGGAATTCAACATTATTTATTTTTCATTATGCTTATGTACTGATATTTATCGTAATGAATGTTACCTTGATTTCTTTTCTTTTTACGAGCGAAGTCATTATGTAGGATTTTATAAGAAACCTGTTTATAATTTATTATTAAGGTGTTGTTTATATAGCAATACTTGAAATATCGTAAGCCTTTTTGTTATGAATATGAACGAAATTAATGGTAATTTTAGCTCCGTTAATATGTCTATAAATATTTTTGTTATATAAAATGCTTGAGAAATATATTAAATTTATGAAAAGAATACAATTATTAGTGAGCATTAGGCACACGCACTCATACACACAAACAATCACTCTCTCTCACACACACACACACACACACACACACACACACACACAAACGTGTGTATTATATCAATATCAAAATTCATTCGTATTCTATTGTCACTAAATGTCGTACATGTTGAGATTTCATTAGAATTGGTTATAAATAAATTGAAAATTTTATTTAAAATTTAAATGTATAAAAAATGTACCCCTCTTTGATAACTATAAATATAAAGGCAAAGGAAAAAATAATTTAAACGTTGTCAAGTCGGAACGTTAAATTCTATGCGTTCTACCGCGTGACATCAACAAACAGACGGAAATTCCGTTTCAGGTTGAATATTTGCAATTTGATTTTGTCAACTCTGTTTTTGAGGAAAAAATAAATAATAGAAGTGATACATGTTCATCGTTATCATAAAAAAATATTTGTTACAATATCATACAACTTTTTTATTGAGAAATCACAGAAAAAGATCATACTATACACAAAATTACCAAATATATTTAAGAATAGAGTATAAAGTCTGCAAACAAATTCATTAATACAAATTACAATTTAATTCAACAACTTATATTTTTGTTGAAAAAACAAAGTTTCCGACATATTTGTACAGCGATCGAAATATTCGCAAAAAGTTCGACGATCAAATTTTCAGTTGATAAATTTTTTAAAATAGGGAAAATAAACACGGAACGACAGCTCTGAAAGTTTACCGAAAGCATTCTTTTTTTGGAGTTCCGTACCTAAATGGTAAAATAGTTAAACTAAGATTTCGCTGGATTTCTGAGTAAAACAAATAGGCCTATCAATATTTTTAATGCTATTTAGATATTAGTAGGGAAATTATCTTAGACAAATTGTCAAGAATTATTATGAAAGTTATGTTTTCATCGTTATTGAAACTTGATGTGGAAATTCATATAGATATTAATTACTTTTATAATAGTCTTTGATTTGCATATATTTCAACTTGTAATCGGATATTTGTTTTCATAAGAAATCTCTAGAGAGTAGTGTATTTCGAGTGCATTGTGCACAACTTTCAATCCATTTATATCAATGTTGACCGAAAAATTTAAAAAATAATTGTTAGTATGTTGTGTAACCAAATAATAGAGAAAATATCTGAAATTCTAAATGACAAGTAAAATTATGAGTCACATAATCATTAAATAGAAAATATACGTGTTAAAATGATTTGTAGGCTACCTATAAATGAAAGTGTTTCTGTTTGCATTGCATAAGTGATTTGTCGCTACAAGCAAGTCCAAATACATTTGATTCATTTCAAAATACTCCATTCTTTTTCATTAAATTTGATCAATACTTTTAATAAAATTCAAATATTAAATGTATAATACATATTAATATGAGCCAGTAAAGGCAATATCTTCTTATCAATCTCACACAATCGATTTATTTCTTATCAGACTTACCCCTGACCAGGCGCCTGCAAGCCACGTGGGACAGCTGTGATCATTGCAAGGCTGAGTTGAACGAGGAGCTGGTGTTAAACAACCAGGTTCGGAACTTGTCTCTGTTGGAAAATGTTAGTAATGTAACAGAATGTAAAACAGAACCCGGCTACTGATTTCAAGATAAGTTATGGTAATCGAAAATAGTATGGGCATAAAATAGATAGAATTCTTATTGAAAGCGAAATTTTTTGATAACCAAAATTATATAAAGACCTAAAATATACATAAAACAATAAAATAATGGTTTAAATTTTCCACTGATATAATATTGGAGTAAACCAATTGTTGTAGTAACTTCAAAATAATTGACATATTTTTATATTATTCTCCTTAATTGTAGCTTCTATTCAAGGAATGTCATTATTAATATATAAATTAACTAACCGGGGTCATAAGTGTCTGTCCTCGTAACATTTGCAGATCTAGCACACAACACTCGTCTTGATCGTACACCTCCCCCACACGTTACACTGCAAGATGACCACTCGCCAACATACCACCTACCACCAATCAAATATATTAGATGCAGTCATATTATTAAGCCTATTGGGAACAATACTGTTATAGAATAAAACTTGACTTCAGCTAGGGAGTGACAAAAAACATACAAACAATTATGAAAATTCTTATTATTAGGAAATAAATTTTAAACATATGAATGCTTTTCATATTATGTGCATTCCAAAGCGTGAGCAACAGACGTAAATATACTGAAGTTATTACTACTAAAAACGCTAATATACTATTATTTTCATATTTTATACTTTATCTTATAGATTTGATACTCCGATTCAAGAAGCAACATAATCAGTACAAAAAATTACTCAATTAGAACATAATATTTTTATAGTAATTTATAAAATAAAGTACAAAGTATTAAACGTTTGCTAGGAGAAATATATAAAGACTTTCACATATTTATATAAAGCACCTCTTCTTGAGTTCAGGTCAAAAAATTTAAAAGGGTTATATTGTTACCTTGAAAATGTACTCAGTATATAGAAGTTAAATACGAATGTAATTTTATTTATACCATGAGATTATTTAATTAAAATAAATACCTATTATTTTATGTTAGACTACTTTCTCAAGTCTTCTGTTCTATTGCTACTTATTCTTCCCCTTATGACAACTCTTATTAAAATTGTTGAAATAAAATAAAATAATTCTATTATAAGTGATATACAAAACTTTATTTTAATCTCAGACAAGCACCGAATGTGAGCAGATACAATAGGTATAATAAAAATAAAAGTAGGTAGACATATTTTTCTACTGACAGAGCGGCAATATTCACTAAATAAACACAGTCGTACCTACCATGCAATTATATTATAAAGAAATCTACTCACTTGAATGGACAGGGATGTGTGTTGCATCTCACCACAGCCGATGCTGGTTTTCTTGAGCCATCGCATAGTTCTTCGGGTGCATCCAATCCAGTTAGCCGATCACGACAAACGGCCAGAGACATTTTGTAACCTGAATTGACAAATAATCTATAAGTTATTGAAATAAATCTAATATTATTTAGATTTACTACGTTTATAATGATTAATAACATACTTCTGACGTTTTGGATACTTTGTAAAAATCGTGATCACGGGGAAAAGAGGTGAGAAAAAAAAGAAAGAAAATATTAGTTAATACTGGCGAAAGTCTAAGATTTCACTATAGAAGTCGCTTTAAAATTATTAATACTGGAGTAATTTTTGATACAGCCTGTATATTTATTTCCTTATACAGGGTGTATAAGCATCACCCATTAGAATTACCTCATACCCACTTAGCAACTTATATATCTAATATATATTATATATTTTTAATATAATTGTTTACAATTAATTTCTTTATTGAAAATATAAAAATCTATAATTTCTTAATATAACTTTTAATAAATATATCATAAGTTGTGTACAATAAGAAAATAAATTGTTTTCTGTTTATATGTCTGGTTGGGTTACATTTTATATTTTAACCCGACGTTTATATCCCCTCATCTTCTTTAGCCGAGAAAACGTTTACCTCGGAATAATCTGAAATTTAACTTAACATATAAATTGTAAATTATTTTAAAGTGATTCAGTGTGAATAGATTTATATGACTAATAAAATATATTTAAATAAAACTATTTAAAATAATAGTCTTAAAATCTCTTAGGTATAAAATGATCAAATATTAGAAAATAAAATATAAGAAATAAATAATTTACAATTGTAATTATATAAGATAATAAATACGTAGTATTCGTATTAGTGACTTCACAAAAATGGTGTCAAAAATTCTATTTTCACCTACATTTATTAAAAAAAATACAAAGACGTCTTCAATAATACTTATTACTAAAGAAAGTCGAGATTTCTATAAAAACAGCCCCTTTTGTAGCCAATATCGAGACGGCAAGAACTCTTAAATTTTTCAATTCAAATCACGAAAATAGAGTCACCAGTGCAAAAATATATTCAAAAGCTACCGTTGTATAAACAGCGCCTTTGACTGAATTTCTTACAAACTAGCATTTTGATAGTAACGAGAAAGAATTCTGAATCTGCAGTGTTTAAATAGCTATTAAGGAAAGCTCTTGGAATCAAAATTACAGAACGTGAATACTGGAAAGAATTATTTACGTTTAAAATAAAATAATTATTATTCAAAAATAATTCCATTAGTTTAATTAACGAAATGTATCTAAGCTTTGAAATTTTATTGTTAATGAATTTTAACTAACTAAATTTTTAAGGAAAAACGTTTGTCGAATAAAAATAAGACTAATTTTCGGGAGCGGTTTTTGTTTGTTTTGTTTTGCTTTTCCCACGGGAATCATTACTTTATAAGATAAAAAGTAACGTGTATTCTTTGCTACCATTTAATGTATAGATATATATTTTCAGGTAATATATTTTTGTTCATTCAATTCACGAAACACGGCGCATTGTCATAATTATTATATTGTTTTTATTCCATCTTAAACTGTAGAAATTGTCATTTCTAGTGTTATTCGATCTTTTGTAATGGTAATGAGCGTTTAACAAGCCAAAGACAACTTCCTCTGGATATATAAATATGTAAATAAAATAACTTCGTTTTACTTCGGATTCTGTTGAATACAAAACTGTCGAACGATTTTGCTTTTATATTATTTGTATTGGAGCACTTTGTTAAATAAAAAAAATTGTATTTTACAAGAGATGAAAATCTGTTATACAATTTCAGTTTCGTTAACCATTTTATTTATGAATTTGAAATGTTATTTAAATTATGACTTCTATAAGTTACTACAAGATTTTTTTTGTATATTCATTTCTAGTATAATGGGTTTTTATAGAAATAAATATTAATTACTATGTATTATAGAATTATCCGTTTGTTTATAAAAGATAGCATGACCTTGAGAAATTAATACGTCAACGCTATAAAATATATAAAAACTGAAAAGCAAACACAGTCATAAAATAGCTGTGAAAAAATAAAGGATATAAAGCGTACGTAGGTTTTAATTCAGAACCTCTTAACAGTAGAAGCATAAAAACAACTAGCTAGTCCAACCGAGAGACCTGTTAAAACCAAAAATAAAAATCCAACTGCGGTCTGCTAGCTAGTAAAAAATCCATTTCCAAATGCATTTTTCTTGTGAAAACGTTTACCAATTTTTTTTTGTATTCCCTGAAATGTAAGGACGTGTAAGAAATACGTGGAAATAACTTTAGCGATTCGGTTTCGCGTTATGATTTACGAAGTCCTGCCATGTCGCGCGATGTAAACTTTTGTGATATATTTTACAATCGTCTTGCTATTGCCCTGCCAACAATACCGCTGCAAAATATATGTTCATTCTTAAACTTTATATATCGTGGGTCATAAAATGTTATTATTATTTTAAAAACAAATATTATTATTACAAAATGAAAGAACATAACAGGGACAACATCATTGTATGGATAAAATATCAAACTGCTGACTCCACGGAACGAACACCAAGCCGTGTGAACCAGAAGATTCCTGATACCACACAAGCTATGGAATGGTATTGATATCCTAACATCGGGACAATCATATAATCTTAGGTATAGGTTATAAGTTTTAATATGTAATTCTTATTATAATTTAAATATAAGTTAGTTTAATAGTTTTTCTGAAACCTCCGCTTGTTATCCTATGTAATTTAATTCCTAATAATTCTGTTTCGTGTTTTCTGTATACAAATCAACCGAACAAAACCTACCAAACATTAGGACAAGCTTCAACCCTTGAACATCCAAGAACCATTTATCATTGTCCCCGCACCTAATTAACATTTGAACGTCCGAAGGTCTTGGATACTACAGAACAAAAACATCACGTTTATAACGTCATTTGAGGATTTTCGTCATGTTGAATAACAGTTCATTAATGATGTTCCATTACTTTTTATTCCTTCTAAAATGCAACGAAAAAATTAGGTTTACCAAAATGTTCTATAATTAATGTTGTTTCTATATAGTATTATTTAAAAAACTATTTGCAATCAGAATCGGTTTTACTTGAATTAAAGCAAAAAAAAAATCGTCTAATATTTTGACCTATTTCTCTAAGTATTGATCGTTGACTTATCATCTAAAGGAAGGTTAATATTTATATATCTAAAATCTTTATAGCCGATTTTGAATTCCTAATTTATTATTTTCCTTCAACCATTCCGTCTTTCCACTAAATACTAAATCTAAGAAGTCATATCTTACGAGTATATTATTTGAGTTACTGAATGTTTAACGAAGCGTACACAATCACACAAATTCACACATCACTTACAACAAATATTATGAAACACGGAGTTTGATCAGTAGGAGGCAATGCTGACAAATAATATTTAAATAACAAGCAGCCTTATATTTATATACAATTGTTTACATTACAGCCAAATTCAACCTTGAGAAGTATTACTAAATTATAATCTTAAATATTAATCGACGTTCTTACTTATTCTGACTAAATTAATAGAATACAAATTGTATTATGTACAATAAGATATTTTAAATAACTGAAACTAATATTCTTCGAATATTACTATGCGTGCTTTATTATTATATAAAACTACATACTCCCGACGTTTCGGTTACTTTTCAGTAACCATAATCACGGTTAATATTAGTTTCATTTAAATGAATCCTCACGAAAGTATTAGTTCTCATTATTTTAAATAGTTTATAGCATTCTTTACTTAGCTAGGCTTAGCTTTTTAGTTTTATTATTTTGTGAATGAAGCTCACTTTTGTCGTATTATTTTACAAACATCAGAAAACATTTGATCCAATTATGTAATTCAGGATTTGCATAACAAATTATCATATTGAACCTCCTCTAATTCTTATCCGAGTCTTCATCTTTCACAGCTTTCTTAATTAGAATCAGCTCGCGAAATTTATTTTGAGATGCTAACGCAAACTTGCGACAAATTTGTCGTAGCTATTTTTTACATTATACTATGAAAACGAAAAAAGTAATTATAGTGGTACTAACTATATGATCACAACGATATTGAAATCTTTACTTATCTTTTTACCGTGTATTATTGCAGGGTGTAGCCTGTAGGTTTATGCGGAGATAAATGATTCGTATGAAAGTTTTCATTTTACACGTTTCTCAATCTATTAAATCTTTTAAATATATTTGATATATTAAAAGAATTCAATTCATTATAGTAGTAGGTCTAGATGTCGAAGTGAACTGTTGCTTGAAAGAGACAAAAGGAAATTCTGCCTCTGATTTATCAGAGGCCCGACTAATGGTGGCCCGGTATAAATTATGAGGGTACAATTAACAGTTATATTGCATATAGATTTCTTGACGGCTTATTTGTGATTCGGATTTTTGGGATAGAATTATTGCACGGTCGAGTTATATCTTCTAAAACTATATAACTTGATGATTTTGATATAATATCTGTACTAGCAATGAATTTAACTGATTTAAGTATAAATCATTAACTGAGAATGGATATTTATTTTAATATACTCTTATTAATAATCATTAAAACAATATAACACATGTAAAGTAACTTTTCCAATTATAAAAATCTACACGAAGTTCGCGTACCCACAACACAAACTTCGACGAATCAAGTTGGCAATAAAAAGCCTAATTAATGCGAGTACCTACTGCGAGAAATTTGTTAATTAAAACAATATTTTACTTTTAATTGGAACGCGCCAATGATACAAATTGAGAGAATTTTTTATATCGGCATTACTATAAAGTACAAAGTTAACTGCAAGCCCATCTTGAATCATTTGAAAGTAGAACAAGATATATTTCTATACAACATTATATGAGAAAAAAAAAGCTATCATTACTTTCCTTGATTGCGCTATAAAACATTGTGGACCCTTTTATAGTATTAAAATCTCTATCGAATTTAAATTCCTATACAGGGTGACTGGTGAATTACTATCAATATTTAAGGAGCATACTCAGTACATGATTCTCATTCGAATTATGTAAAAAAAATAGGTACTTAATTTTTGACAAAATTTCCGTATAAATAAATAAAGTGTTGACACGTTCCAAGTGTTGCAAGTGTGGACGCGTGCGGCGGCGTGCTGATACAACACTACGCCGCCGCCGCGTCTGTGTGAGTGTGTGTGTATACCTAATCTGTAGGGTGTTCATACGATGCGTAATTAATTACATAACTTTTGGTTAACTTTACTTAGAAGTTTATTAATATTTATGTTATATTAATTTTTATTTTGTCATATATGATCGTCAAATATCACGTCCTCAAATATTGATAGTAATTCACCAGTCACCCTGTATAATCCCTACTAATATTGTAAATGCGAAAGTAACTCTGACTGTCTGAACCACTGAACTGATTTTAATGAAATTTGGTACGGAGTTGGAGTTAACCTTGAGAAAAAACATAGGACAGTTTTATCCCAGACTTTTGAAAGGTTCTCTTGGAAACGCGATATAACCAAACTAAACGGGCGAAACTGCGGGCGGAAAGCTAGTAATTATATAGTATATTTATATCTTATATATTTGCGTATATAAAATATACAACAAAAGATATAATCACAAAATTCATTACATCGTCTCTGGAGGTGGAAATAAATGTAAAAAGGGAATATTTACAAAACAGCAGTATTTTTTTTATAAATAATTTTTATTCTTTACGATGGGATGATATTAAACTTTCTGTATTTTCGCAACAGATATTTGTACTTTAATCACCTTTTTCACTCAACTTCAACGCTTGATCCGTTAAACAAAAAATGTAAATTGCTCCTGAGTACACACTTTAAGACATTTATTTTCGAGCGTTGCTATCGTAGTGTAATATTATATTTTTTTCCTTTTACCCATATTTTTATATAAACGATACACGAGATGCTTTCACTGTCACGCTTTGATAGACGTAAATGTTAACTTGTATGGATAAACTACTTCAAACCACTTACGCAATCTTTTATATTGCAACTTTATTATTTAAAATGGAATAATATACGTATAGTTATCATTATTTGATACTTCCAATCTACAACTCATGATTGTATTGAAAAACAAATGAATATTAACTAGTGTTCTATGTTTGTTTTGAACAATCATGCAATAGTATATTTTATGGTATTTAAATAAGATTTCATTTTTCCTTATACAGTTATGTTAAGATAATTATATTACTATCATTCGATGTATTAATTTAAAGATATTTAATCCTATTTTATAATGACTCACTTCGCTCATACACACTAAAAATCCAATAGGGTATACAAAACTTATTTGAGAAGAAAGTAAGTCAGTTTGGCCTTACTTTTTGCTTATAAAATTTAATATAAATAATGTTATTTCTTACCACCACCACATGTAGCTGAGCACAAGGATCCAGGGGTTGACAGCCAGTGGTATCTTGGTCTTGAACATGATGACCCGTCCCCACCACAAACACCGCATTCATCGACACGACGAGTAGAACCGACTCGTAAGTCACAGCCGACACGCTAGAAATAAAGTCATTCATAGGTTATTCATTTAATATAATACTAGTTTTGGACAGTAACTTTGTCAGCGTCAGTTTCATAATTAGAAATGAATAGCTGACCAGGCAGACTGTTTCGTTTTAAGAACAGTAAATTTTGGATTTTATTAGCATTTTTTTGTACGAACGAATTCAAAAGTATCCTATGACCATCTCCTGATTTCAATCTCCTCGCAAATTTCCAGCCAAATCCGTACAGCTGTGCTTGAGTTATAAATAGTATAACTAACACGACTTTCTTTTGTATAAAGATTATAAATTCAATTATATTATACGGGTTAGGAAATATGATTAGAATTTAACTGATCTAATAAAAATTTATATAAAATATTGAATCAATTTACGCAGGCAGGTTGTAGGATGAGGAGGCTGTGTGAATTTATTAAGATCGGAAGCAATTCATCTGTGTAGCAGATGATACAATAATTCAGAACCTTCAAAATCAGTTTCTCCCAAACTTCCAAGTTATAAATTACTCAGATATGTAACAATGACACACCTCATCGTTTATTCAACGCTATGAAATCGAGTCGAGTGCCGGTATCCACACAAATGTGCCGAATTTTCGGATTATCATATTAAAGCAGCACCAACCATCTCGCTCTGGTCCCATAAAATGATATAAGTGTGAGCGGGATGGATGATTTATTGCTCGCAATTTTATTACTGCAATTCATATTCACATATAAGTTGATTTAATTACCACAGGCGAAATTGTAATACGCCTTTCATGTGTGGATAATCAAAATGTCTGTTTTAATAACGCTGAAACTTTGATAGTGTACATTTATGTATTAAAGTCATAATATATTTTCTTTCTAGTGCTATATTGTAAGTTGTTTTATGGCTTTATTGTTGTAAGAAGAAAGTTCGCATAAAAATTGTTCTTTTCATATATTCAGGTTGTAAATAATTTAGATATTTCATGTTATCTGGGTTAATCGCGATGTTTGTTCCCTGTCATATATGTTCGTTTTATATTATTTTGAAAGAATAAATATAACAAAATATTTATATTATTTAAATCTATATACTTTATAGAAATTGGTCTGTAAAGAAAACTTTACGAAAAGTCGTTTTAAAAATGTGGTAATAAGTACGTGACCGGCCGAAACTTTTGATCCAATATTGGCAAATGTACTTCAATGTTTTATGCCCAATTAACGAAATGTCACGTATTCATGGAAGTTTCGAAGACTGCGTCCAAGAAGTCATATAACTTTTCACTCGCCACTGAGAACTGGTCCGGTTTTGCATAATTTCATATATTATTTAAGTGGAGACTTGCTACAGTCGTTTGCATAATCTCATTCGTTGCCAACGAATACTAATTCAAGACGCCCGAATTGAAGGTCTCATGATTCTGAAAATATCTGACGCTCTTTCAAACTTATTTGACGTAACTTTCATAACTTCTTTTGAATTTTTTCTTTACTTTCATCTTGATTTTATGGTTGACGATGTATATACATATATATGATGCTTGAAGAGAGCAAATTTTGAGTTATCAGTTCCTTCTTTATGCTTTTTAAGCACGATACAAGTATATTTGATAAAAAAACTATAACTTTTCCTAGTTCATCATAACACCTCATCTATTAAAGCAATTTTTTTAAGACCTAGAAATAATCGATACCCTTTTCAATAAAAGTAATATGTTCGTATCTACTGCGTTTTTTTTATTTTTGACTATAAACTACATACTCCCGACGTTTTGGTAACTATACAGTAATATATTAGTATTAAGAATACAGAAAATATTAGTTTCATTTAAATGAGTACTCGCGAAAGTATTAGATCTCATTAATCGATACGCTATCATCGAATTAAAAGGAAACCGAACCTAAAAAAACATAGCCCCAGATCACTAGCTACGAATGAACAATTACTAAAAGCCCCTTCAAGCAAACAAACCTTTATGGTTGAACAAAAAATGTGGATTGAAACCCCGTGACACAATGCCGGATAAGACCTGACATCATCAGGGAATGGGGCTGCGAAATAATAAGGCTTTACTGTGGTCCAAAATAAGAGAGTTAGCGGATTTACTTAACACTAATCAATGTGTTCCAAGCCATTTATTTTGGAAAAAAATTATAAAGATTTGAGACGTTTAAAAATCTGTTTAATTTTAGCCTGACGCGAATTATAAAATGAAATCTAATTGGTATATTATTGAGATAAAACGATTAAAAGCACGTTAAAAAGATAAAGCTTATACTAGTTTAATTGTATCATCAACTAATATAGTAAAATAATTTAATTATATATATGAAAAATGATTGAATTTTCCGGTTCATTTGTCCTTAATCGTGATAGTTTATAACTTAAGCCTCGTGAAAGCACTCGTTGCGGGTCGCTTTTGTCTAGGTACTGTTTGCTCCCGTTTCTAAAATTAAAACTATGCGGCCTGGAATGCCTTGTAATATTTCGTTTGCTGTAAGGCACACCTTTTCAAAAAATATATATAAAAACGTATACCGGCATTTGTTACAAATGTCATGACAACTTTGTTTATTTTTATTTGTACGTGTTGTGTAATATATAGAGGTGTTTTATTATTTAAATAAAGAGTAATATACATATAAACATATTTTTATGGTATAAAGGAATGTAAGGTCAATACTTGGATAGAATTGCAAATAGAAACTGTAGATGGAATCCTGGAGAAGGACATAGACTACCATTTATCCTAATCACGACTCCCGACCCCAATCCAAAAAATACACTGGTGGAACCAGGAAAGAAGTTTGGATTTAGTGATCATAGTATTTTTTTACTTTTATCCCGAACTCGATTCAAATCCTGATCCCAATCCTGATTCTGATCCCAATCCTGAAACTACACGAGTGGAAACATGAAGTGCAGTTCAAGTTCAGTGGCTGTAATAACACAGAACAAATCTGATGTTCACGCGGACGGAGTCGCGGGCAAAAGCTAGCAATTCTATAATTTCCAATTATTATTAAACTTATAGATTGTTCTAAGTGAATGATTCGTTTGTGACTTAAAAGAAGAAAAATATTACAACTAGCCTTCCATAATTAAACTTAGGCTTTAATATTTATTTATTTATTAAGGCAAACACAACAGGTCACAATCACATACAGAATATTTCTTAAACATTAATAGCATCGAACAGATTATGACCCTAAGGGTGCATGTACAACATGACGGGATTGCCAATTAATATTATACAGGAGATAACTATATATTAGTACTATTATAAATAAAATATGACAATATCACCAAGTAAAAACCAAATGTAACAAATATTTATAACAGCGTTGTTCTTTTATGGGATCAAATATCCGAAGCCATGAGAAGCGTCTTATATATATTTATCTGGAGGGCTGTAGATGGTATTGTTTTGTTTCATCTCGTCTTACTAAATCTAACTGGTCTTAAGTTACATCAATGGAAACTACAATGAGATCAGAAACTTTTGTAACGTCTTTTGTAAGTCATGAAAATTATTTGTACTTTATTTGATCAATTCAAAGTATATTTGGTTTGTTTTCAACATAATAATAATGAATTAAATAAATAACGAACAGTAATATTTTAAATTAAAAATATGATAATTAATATGATAAATTTATTTGTAAATTATTTTAAATATTGAGAGAATTCATGATGAATCTAAATGGATCTTATTGCTTAAAATAATATAATTTTTAATCAATCGTATAGCGTATGTGTCGAAGCAAATGCAAAATGTTATACAGATATTAATTAAATAAAGAGATTCATTATTTTAAGATTATTTATTATTTTAAGAAAGTTTCTATAAGGTAAGCATATTGTTGTAACTCTTTGGATCCCAATATGTATGTATATTGGAGCTTCTCTGCTTTATACTTTTAAGAATTAATGTGAGACTATTTGCAGCCCATGAAAAATCAATCAAAATAAAAGATATGCAACTATAAAATATCGTTTAATCTAGAATAATTCTATATATATAAAATTATTTCATATTTTATTAAAAATTATTACAGTCTTATTAAAAATATTAGCCTTACTAACACAAACAGCGCCAACGAATTCTCCCGAGCAGTGACTTGCTGTATTTCGACAGACTCGCCATGTTTTGCTAAAGTAACTTGTTATTTATAATCAAATTTGGCACTCGGTAGCACTATGCAAATTACTTTCACGACTTAAACTTTAGCAGGCAACAATTAAATTTTTCATTTAATATTATTAAAAATACAAAATTTCATAAATTGTGACAGCTATTAAAATTAACTCGAATTTATCGTTCATTGTTCGTGGGCTGATAATGTTTAAAAATGAGAATATTTTAAGCAATAAATAACTCGTTTTTAAGACGAAGAATAAAATATATCTATTCCAAAAGTGGCAAGGTATGGAAGATTTGTAGCTTGGGATTTAAATTCCCGAAATACAATTGGAACTACGTAGTACACCTTCTAGCATTTCTCGGTTCAAACCGAACACAGTTATGCCATTATCCCACAAAACGCTTAACACTGAATTATTCATTAAACGAAGGCACCTTAAAACGTCTTATGAATATGTTATGTTTCCATTCCACTGAGTAACTATTGACGTTAATTAGAACCTTTTATATAAACAATATATTCATACATTTAATATTTTTTTGCTATTTTATTAGTATAAATTCGTTAAGAATATGTTAATGGAAATAAACTTTATGTGATGGTATTTAAATTCATTTTTCTATGATATAATTTGTTAAGAATTACGTATGGACACAATACGGCCTAAGCGATTATCTCTCTAGAATTATTATGTATAGTTTTCTTAATCAATTAATTAAATTACATGTATTAACTGTATTTGTCACATACTGAACTTGTTTTTTTAATCTTCTGATACTAAAAGAAGTATTATATTTAATATTATATCAGTAATTTTGTTCTTGTTCACACGCTACATTAACAATCACTCACAACAAGACAGCTCTAACCTTTT